CTTCTTCCGCGTGATGTTTTCATCTGATACATGGCAATTTGTGACCCAAATTTAGGGAGTTGCATTTTTCTGAATTACTTAGTGACGCATCAAGCTTAGAGGGCTTTCAATTAAAAAAAATAATATGTTCAGTGCGCTAAAGCATTTCATACATCTTTTCTCGAAAATTTTAATGATAGTATTAGGTAGAATTAAATACAACTATTGTTCAGAGTAACATTTTGATAAGCCTGATTCACAAGTTTATTTAAATTGCCTGAATCAACGTTGCACAGCGTTATTGAAAAGCAGAATTTGAGAATAACTTTTTACTATGTTAAGTCAAAGGCCAATTTACTTTATCTCTCCGTTAGGAAATTCAATGCTATAAAACATCAGAACCCTGTTTATTAAATCTAAATTTACACTTGTTTAGTTACTTCACTGATTATGTGAATTGATTTAAATATTTATCAGCGTTCGCAGGCTTATGATAACCACAGCTCTACAGCATTTGCCATAAAGTAAGAATAAACCGAGTTCTGCCGTTTTTTACCCTTTACTGATCGTCGGCACACTGACGAAATGTTTAATCTCGGCTGATCTAGATTAAACATGCGAATATCCCTTTTGAGCTACTACTCGTTCTTTTTCAAAATAGATTAATATACAAGTGCGACTGCGGTGGCAAAGCACCTAATATATTTTGCTGTGTCTAAGTCCCTTTTTTACCCACAGGGCTCGAAACTTCCTGCATTGAATGGTGCACTATTTTTGCGCCATTCTGCCAGATTCTGAAGTAAAAGTCAGGAAACCATTAACAACACGACTTGTCATCTGAACAGGCATAGCATAACAAACCTTGACCAATCTCTGAAATTGCAATATGAAGTGGAAGATCGTTGAAAGTTTTGCTTCCTGCGCTACCAAATTTATTCTAATTAACTTTAATCATAATTAAAATTCATTGTTAATTTTAATGAATTATCCAACTGTACTTATTTACGAACCAGTTCATTATTTACATAAAATTTTCAGAGGTTAAGTCAAACCTTACTTTACAAAGGTTTCAATTTCATTTTTTAAATGATCGTTAAGGTGATATGAAAAATATCCCGGAAACAAATAACTGTTAAAAATATTTTTTTGTCCTTTCAGTGAGAATTTAACGCTGGTAATTTTACAAATAGTCTAAAGGATTCGTTTTCGCAGTCTTATTTTGATATACGATGAATCTGTAATTTTTTTTGTTAGACAAATAATTACTAAGGCTCAAATTGTACTGTAGATGACTTGAACATGATAGGTCTTCTAATTGCATGATAAGCAGAACTACAAAATAAGGAATAATCTTTCCATTTGTAACAGTTCCATAGTTTCGCCAGAATTAGTCGTTAACATGGAATGAGCACGAAACAGAAA